CTTTGTGGGAGAGTATCCTAACATCGGCTTCCTGGTGCTTAAAAAGGACTGAGGGGTCTGTCTTGCTGCACTTGGAGGTTCAGAACTATAATGGTTTGGGGATCTGGGGGCCTGGGGGGGTTTAGGGTTGGTTTAGGGTCCAGGATTAAGGGGTTAAGGGGTGTGGGTGCTTTCAGGAATGCCTCTACAATCCCTCGGAATACGCCTTGTAATCCATTCCTTTCTTCCCTACTCATGAACCACCCTGAGCTACTGTCAACATAAGGGTTACCAGGGGACCATCAATGTCAAGGGGGGACATGGGGGTCCTGGTGGTAGTGTAGTATAGTTCCTAATATATCCTCTACTAGGAACCATGTCCATCAATTGTGGCGGGAAATGTTGACTGTAGCTCACATGATACAGTAGCTTCCGTTTTCTTCTCCATTCCTTCGTTTTATTCTGAGCCCTGAATCATACAAGAAACTTTCCTGTTGTAGCCCCGCATGCCCTACTCGAAGGCTCTCTTGACTCAGTATGTCCACTTAGTCATATCATAGAGGTTATAGAGCTCAAAATGTGGAGTACTGGGGATGCTAAGTCGACTTACTAAGTCGAAATATCATCCAAGCATACCCCTACAAACCACTCCTCCATCCCAGTGTCCATTTCATATTCCATTGTAATTTACTCTCCAAGATCAAGGTTCAAATCCTTACATGATCCGTATTTAACTCTTACACATTTTTTTATAAGGTGGCTCCTTAAGTCAAAAGATGTTTCCATTTTCCATCATCCTCATACAACCCCAATATACTATTGTAGTTTCCATCTTCTTTTCCATTATCCCCACCCCAATATTCCCTAAACCCCAACCCAAACCCTTGACTCTAAACCCTGAACCCTACCCTAAGTCAAAAGAGCCACCACAACTTAGATCGCCTTTATAGACCCATAATAAGCCCTATATAATTCCTATATGATTTCTCATAGGGTTCTCGGGATCTAATTTTCAGATCCCTTGAGGGGTCTGGGTAAACCCTATAGTCCGCCTCAAGTAGATAGAACATGGGGTATATGGGGATCTTGATATGGTATTGGGCAATTTGCAAATTCCATCATCTTAAGAGGGCCTATAATCCCCCTAAACTCTAAATCCTAAACTCTAAACCCCTAAACCCTAAACCCCTAAACCCTAAAATCCCTACACCCTAAACCCCAAGCCCTAAAACCCCTAAGCCCTAAACCCCCGATCCCTTACCCCTAGACTCCACACCCTAAACCCTACACCCTACACCCCCCAAGTCCCAAACCCTGACTCAGTGGCTGGGTCTTGGAGGTGGCGAGTCTGCCACCTTTGCCAAAACGCGCTGCGAGGCGCGAGTCTAGGCTTTAGGGCTTGCAGGTCCCCTTAAGTAGGGTCTAGGGGTTTAGGGTTTAGGGGTTTAGGGTTTAGGGGCTTAGGGTGTAGAGTTCAGGGTTTAGAGTTCGGGGTTTAGGGCTTACAGTCCCCCTTAAGTAGATACGATATGGCTGTGGGTAGATTATAATAAAAATCCCCTTTGTCCCATATTCTATCAACTTAAGGGGGACTATAGGTTTTTGTATTTAAGGTTTGGAATGCAAACTACTATAGTATATTGGGGATTTATTGGGATAATTGAAAAGAAAATGGAAACTACTATTTAGGGCTTAGGTTTATGTATTTTGGGTTTGGGGTTTAGAGTTCAGGGTTTAGGGCTTAGCGGTTTGGGTTCGGTTTGGGGCTTGGGATTTAGGGTTTAGGGTTTAGAGTTTCGGGTTGAGTTGTTGGGGTTTGCGGATTAGGTTCTGGGATTAGGGATCAGTTAGTAGGGATTAGGGATGAGGGTGTACGTGTTCGGGTTTGGGATTTGCGGGTTAGGGTGTAGGGATGATAGGCCCCCTTAAGTAGGTAGAATGTGGAATTGCTCATTACCATAATAAGATCCCCTTTAATAAGGGGGTCTTATTATGGTCTGGGGCACTTCCATTCTATGTCTACATATCCCATCTTCTATCTACTAAAAGGGAACTATACGGTCTAATTGTTGGGGTTCAGGTTTGGGGGGATTTGGGTTGAGGGCTCCTTGGCTTGAGACTTTAAGGGGTCAGGGGTCAGCCTCCCCCCAAGCCCAGATGCCAAAACCTAATACCTTCTTGGGACTTGGGACCCTTAACCTTAGGTACTGCCCCTCCCCGTAACAGTCTATATTAGGGGTCCAATGAAGGGCTACATATAACCATATTATAGATATTATCCAACTGTTACTGAGTGGGGGTAGTACCCAAGCTGTAGTCTAAACTCCCAGTATCCCACCCCTACGGTCGTTCCCTCTATAATCCCCTATGTACCCCCTTTTCAGGAATTTAGACTATAGCTCATATGGCGTTATCCTGCTTTGTTCAAAACACGCAGCAAGGTGGCCCTGCCAGACAACCTCCCGCTGCTATGCCACGATCCGGCACTTACCTTGTCTCTTGCCTGTGAAAGGTGCATGCCAGCAGTTACTAGCTGATTCGGCGTAGAGACCGTGTCTGCTTGTGACCACAGGCAAGTCCTCAAGTGCCTCTACCCGTGTGATGACTTCCAAGCCTTGGCTGCAGCATGCTCCCTGCTTCGAGTGCAATGCGCACAGGATATGGGATGACACGGGTCTGAGCTGCTCTGAACTGCTGATCTAACTACTCCTGAAGGTAGGTACAGACATGGATCATGAAATTGTGATGGTCGTTTCTCATCTGGGCTGTCGTGAGTATCCAAGATGCTAAGCAGTAGCGCAGCACAAGCCAGTCTAGTTCATGGGGAAGTCAGCAGGCCTTGCCTCATGCCTGGCGTGATGGTCTTGTTCCCACGCATTGCAGGACATGCTCTGGAATGCAGTGCTGGAGCGCCTTGACGTTTCCCAAATTTGGGATACGTGGGATAGTATCCCCAATTATGGCAAATCAAATGGATAAGAAAATGGAAAATTGAAGGAAACTGGGGTTAGATGAGGGTGTATGTGCAGCACACTTCAAGGTATTGGCCAACGATGGACAAACGAGTCAGCAAGATCGAATACGTAGGGTTGCGGCACCGAGGCAGTGAGCGTCAGCCACTCAGGATAAACATGCTGTTGCAGAATTTGAGTGAGTCTTACTCAACCTTGAGGTGTACGGCATGTTCGGGGTGCACTGGCTGCTAATGATGAGTTGTACCGTGCATTTGCAGAAGGCAGGGAGGATCAAACCGATGTTCGAGATAAGCCTGTGGCTCGTGTTGCAAGGCCGGGCCGAGGCAGAAGCAGTGCGAAAGCTGGTGGCTGAGAAGACCGGCACCGAAGCTTGGCTGCAGCAGAATGGCTCAGTGAGTCTTAGAGAGTCTTGTGATGCAACAGGCGTTGCGATCGCAAGGTCATCCATCCGGGAGGGCAATGCTTGTCGGGCCACCTCCAGTTCAAGACCTGGATGCGGATTCTAGGCCAGGCTGTCCTTTGTGCTTTCTTAGAAGCCGGTCATGTGACTTTCAGGCCGGCCAGAACAACCTGTTTGCCTCGAGTGCCGACGACGCTGAATCATGAAACCTGATAGGATCCACAAACCGGAATGCAGACACGTGACATATAGTTCCATCCCTCTTCTCTCTCGTCTCTGCTCTCTCGTCTCCCCTCTCCCCTCTCCCCTCTCCCCCTTTCCTTCCCCCTCTCCTCCCCTCTCCCCTCTCCTCTCCCCTCCCCTCTCCCCTCTCTTTTCCTCTCCTCTCGTCTCCTCTCCTCTCGTCTCCTCTGGTCTCCCTCGCTCTCCTCTCAAGAGCCACGACAGTTCTGCTTTTCGCGACCAGATCGTTGTGACGGTTAACGCTTTTGAGACGCGAGGGGCAAGTCCAAAAGTGACGACAGTTCTGCGTTTCGCGACCAGAACCCCAGATCCCTGTGACCATTGGCACGTTTGAAACGCGAGGACCAGAGCCACGTCCAAGAATGATGACAGTTCTGCGCTTCGCGAGCAGGACCCTCCCGATCCCTGTGACTGTTGACACTCTTGAGACGCGAGGACCAGATCCAAGTCCAAAAGTGACGACAGTTCTGCGTTTCGCGACTACGACGCATGCGCGACACTCGCGAATGGTTGCGAACGCTTGCGAACACAAACGACTTTTGGTCACTGTTGCACACCTATGCACACCTCTACGTCTGCTGATGATTGAGAGGTTGCGCTGCTAAGGACAGATTTGGAGGATAGATGACACTATGGCATTTGTGGACTCTCGACACAGGAGTATCAGATTGGACAGATCTTTCTGCCGTGACTAGCTGAGGTTTGCGCGGAGGATTTCGATTCCAATGTCATGGAGGCTACCAACGTTTTCATGCAGATGCCCTGCGGATCATGGCGTGCTTCGGCGTCACCAGCTGGTATGCAGAGCGAAGTAGATGCAGTGCTCCCCATTACTCAGGCATGGTCCATCACCACGGAAGCCCGTCGCATTGATATCGCAGATGGTGCTGTCAGTGTGCCAATGCCAAGAACAGGGGGCCAAAGAGTAGCTCTCTGCTTTGCTCGTCGTCATGGGCAGCGTGCCGGCTGGATTCCAAAGTAGCTTCGATTTTCTGTTCCATTATCCCCTATACAACCCCCATATGACCCATATATAGCCCCTACATGACCCCCGTAAAACCCCTGTACAACCTGCCTTGACCGTTGCATAACCGCTACATCACCCCTATTAATATGGCCCCCACTCGTTTAGCAACCAGCCATGAAGCAAGGGCTACGTTGCCGGGGGAGCCTCGCTTAGGGACAAAGAACAACACGCAAGCTGAGAAAAGGTTGTTGCCTGCCGGCCGAAGTACGCACTAATACCAGTACAACAACTAGGGTGCTACCATACTACAATGCAATATTATTGTAGTACTTGCATACTACTGGTACCGTACTACAACAATACAAGAATACTATAGTACTGTAGGGTTGCTTGGAACTAGATGGAGTTGCGAGGGAAACTCGGCCTGACTGCCCAGGTCCCTCAATTTCTCACCCGGGATGAGGCTCCGGACTTCTGCTTATTCACAATCAAAAATTATAGTAGCTTCCAGTTTCTTTTCCGGGATCCCCTCTATAGCCCCTGCATAACCACCATAAAAACCCAACAGTATATAACCCCCCTCACATTACCCCTAACACGACCCATGCATGTGTATGTTGCTACCGAGATTCATACATCAGTTCCGCGCGTATCTGCACGTTTTTTCAACAAGGCAGAGTACTTCACCTCACTGGCGGAAGACCGCGGCCTGAAGCCAAGCAAGAATAAGGTGGGTAAAACAACTGCGTGAAATTCTGGTTTCATTGGCACCAGTGTATGCCCAGGCCAAGAGAACGGGAGCTTCGCTGGCGCTGCTGTGCAGAGCTTCGCCAACACATCTTCGAAACAGACTATGATTGCATTCTGTTACTGGAGTCATTACAAGTCTTCATGGCAAGGTGCTGTTGCAGACCATGACCGAACCCGTTGCTCCAGTCGTCCAGCAGATAGAGGCAGGATGCCTGTGGAGCTCCGCTTGGTTAGTGCTTTTACTGTACCACCGGCAAGCCGACTGCCTTGTGGTACATATTCTTCCAGCAAGCGACCTACCCCTGTACACTGTTCACGCGAGCTGCAGGAGAGACTCATTGCGTGGAATGAGTTTGCACCGGAAAACATGGGGTGCCACCTACAGTCATCAGCGCAATCCTGAGCGACGTTTGATACACGAGCCGTGCCAGGTACTTGAGGCTTGTTCGGGCCAACACTGAGCTTGGGATGGGCAACAGAGGCTGTGGACAGAGGCCAGCCAAGGACAGGAATCGCAACATGAATGATTGTAAGCATTGTCAAGGTGTGCCACCATATGTCTCACAGAGAAGGCCTGCTGGGGCACTCTGGCATTATGATGCCTGCAAGCCTTGCAGATTCCTGCAAGGCGGACGTGCATTTCCCGCACATTGGCCTGCGGGTGGCGTGATTCTTGGGGGTTCACCCAGAATCAGCACATCTAGTAAATCTAGTAGAATCCCAAACCCCTTCAAACGGCTTCCTGCTTTGTGCGCTGCATGTCTTATAGACAACTGGCACATTTCAGACATGCGCACCCCGAGGCCATGACGAGAGGAGACCTTTTGGAGTGGTCTGCTCCCTGGATGTGAGTGTTCAGGAACACTTGAAGTATACAGATGTTACCTGGGGCCTCGGTGCCCGACCAGCGCATGGACAGATCCCTTCAGTGGGCCTCACCCGGCGGGCATATGGCCTGACGAAGAAGAAGAGAGAGAGACAGCATCACTGCGTTCTTCTCTTCTCACAGCCCAGTAGAGAAGGATCGAAACTCGTACACAAGTCCCAGCTGCCTTTATGCATGTCCAGTGGGAGGGGCCTAGATAATTTGCAGTAGTCTGCGATGCAATGGGACGTGTTTATGGGCGGCACATCGGGGCTCCTGGGTCGGACCAATGTGGGATGCGAACAGCTTGGGGCATTGCCCCAGGGCCATCAGATTCTCTTACAACCCTGAAAGAAAGTCATTGGCTCTTGCCGGGCTCCTTTTGCCTTGAGAAGAAGAACATGAGACGATGATCAGCCAAACTGCCCTCTTCACTGGAAATCTTGATGTAAGGCCGAACGCCTGGTTTCAGGAAAGTTCGCACACCCATCCAGAGGACAAGGTAACGGCTTCAAGCTCAGCCTGGTCATGCAAGGTCCTTGTCGTGCTACTTGACACTGTGGCGTTAGCAGGTAACAAACATTCTCAGACTTGCAACCTTCAGGTGGAGGACTTGCGGGCAACGCATGCGCATCCCTCAAACTTCCCTTCTGCGGGCTGTAGCCGCGATGAGCAATGCGCGCCGATTTGCAACAGCCAGCCAGCACAGGTGCACCTGTTTCCTGGCCTCATGCTGGATGCCAGCTTCCATGACAAGCTCTGCCCCGAGATTTTCTGGCATTATGGCTTGCAACTGGCATTGCGGAGCCGGTCACTCTGAAAGAGGACCTCTTGTTGACGGCACGCTGAGGCCAGTTCGTTCACCTCAAGTGACTGGCGAGCCCAAGTGACAAAAAAGAAGATGATGCTTGCTTTAGTCTCTGGCGCTGAAGCTGGCTGAAGTTGCACAGCAGGGACGTGGGCATGTCCCTCTGTTGACACTATGGGGAGCCGACGGCAAAGTTTTGGGTTAGATGGGGATTTGAATTTGCCCCCTGCGGAAGATGTCGTTTGCAGGCTGACTAGCGAATTCAAATTCTGCTCAAGTATCTCAATTTGCTCCCAGGCTATATATGCACACGCGCCATGCAAATCAACATTTCAGGGTGGGTTAGGACAACTGAAAACGGTATTGGGCAGCATTGCAGAAGGTTGACGGCTTGCAGAGCTGCGCTGGAGCCATGTGATTCTGCAAGTTCTCAATGCCACCGGGCGCACATTCTTGCGTAGCGCCAGCTCTCCTGGCACGCTACGATGGCGGAGGTGTGGAACTTGGCCGGAGCCTTTGCACGGCTTGGCATGTTTACTGCAGCTTGGCAGTGTCCTCCATTCCAAGGACTGGTGCTCTTCGCCCCCATCTGGGGGAGACGGCAACCTTATCTCCCGGCAGGTTAGCCTCCTTGCCCACGTGTGGCCACTGACAAGGGCGCAGGATGAGAAAAGGAGACCCCAATGTTCGTACTGCGCTCAGTCAAAAGAGGGCATAGGCCTTCATGTTACTCAGACTGCTGCAGCAAGCCAGAGATCGGTGAACTGAGGTCGTGACAAGCGAAAAGCGGCTCAGAAGGAGGCACCTCTGGCTTTTAGCTTTGTTGGACCAGCGTCCTTAGCCTTGTTCCTCGGCTTCTACAGGCCACTCGTCGCCTGGGTCGCCTCGGGGCCCGCGGAGCCCTTGAGATGCTCCTTGCCTTCGTGGAGGAAAAGGTGCATCCAGTGCAACTACCAGTACATGATTTTGACATGTTGATCTTTTCGAAGGTGCAGCTCAACGTTTTCCATGTAAGTGCTGTGATCGCGGCCTGTGGCAAGGAGGGACGTGCACTAGGTGTGCCGTTCATCATGCTGTGGGTAGTGTTCAAGACAGGAGGTGCTCTGGGAGCAGTCTCTGATGCTGGTGGGAAATCTCTCTGCTCAAGCTATTCGAGCAGACGTCGTCGTATTTAATTCGGCAATGCAATCATGTGCGGCTTGGCGCAGATTTGCAACTAGCCGAATTCTCTGCAGCATGGAAGATTTGCAAGGCAAAGCAGCGCCAGTGGCAAGAAGCTCTGGAGGTGTGTCGCTCAATGCCAGGCAATTGCTATGTTTCTGGGATACTGGCACAATTCCATGGAATGTCTCGATGTCATGCAGATGCTCCACCCTTGCGAAAGGACATTCCTTGTACCCGAATGAGAAGACCAAGTGCATAGCCTCCAACGCATGCGCAGGGGCTGCCCTTTGGGAGGACTCCGTCGTTGTTTCTGCATCAAAACGCTGCTTTGAAATTTGGGCCTTCACATGTGTAAAGTGCCATGTGATGGCAGAACAGCCTGCAGCTTACGATGATGACGTTCAATGACGCTGGCGTAACACAGGCATGGGCGATTGACAGCTTGTGACACTATTCAGGGTTGATATTATTGGAAGTAGGGTAAGATCATCTCATCTCAGATTTGGCTGCCCTCACTGTCACAGCGGAGGTGGCTTGCAACACAGCACTTGGAGCATTCAGCAAGTCTTTGCTTTGGCACTCTGCGTTTCACTTGGCCTTTTCCATGCGAAGCTCACTGATTGAGACGGCCAGCCGACAGCATTTTGGATTTGAGTAATGTAAGTAATCAGTCCCACCAAAAGCAGAAACAACGGCGATGCGACAGAGACAATCTGAGGACCAAATCACCGCCACGACTGCAGTCAGCTTGCTTACCCGGGCCTCGCAGTGGCAGCATGCCCTACAGACTCTCGAGGCCCGTGTGCAGCTCCTACGGTAAGCGGCGAGGAAGCTGAACGATTGACTTGCCAGGCAACACCGAAACTAATTCGTGCCGCAGACGCAATCACAGAAAGCACGCTCCTCAGGCTTCTCGAAAGCATGCAGACGACGGACACAAGCAAATACTGGCCGTGGCTGAGGTACGCTGATGGCAGCTTGCGGGGAGGCAGGTCTTTGGCAAGAAGTGCTGTCTCTGCTTTGGAAAATGGCATCCCGCGGGCTCCTTGTTTTGAATCAGAAGCGCTGCGCAAGACAAGGTGAGGTAGCAAGGAATGATCTGTTTTAGCAGGTGTTTGCCTGCTCCAATCCTCTAAGATTTGCTGACGTCTTCAGCTTCAGCACAGCAATCGCGGCCTGCACCACTGGTGGCGAGTGGGAGCTTTCCCTTTGTCTGCTCGCCAGAATGTGCCAGGATCCAGCACTTCACACCCATCACCTGCCTGCCACAATCCATTTCCTATCTTTCCAGGAGTCCGTGCGACCCAACGTAGTTGCCCTAAGCGCAGCTCTGGCAGCAGCTGCAGCAGGGAGCCGCTGGCGCGAAGCGTTGGACTGGGTGCTTTTGATCAGTGCGAAGCGTCCCCATGGATGGATGCCTGTGCTCTGTGTGGGATTGTCCAGGAGATGTTCGAGAGCATGTCTGACTTTGACGCGTCGCCAAATGTTGGCACCTCAGCCTGCTCCAAAGGGACCCTGCCGCCTTTCACTTCAAACTGTTTTTGATTGAACGCAGCTAATGGCGATGATGGCACCATTCCAAGGAGGTCAGCATCATGGCTGTGATGAGTGCTTGTGGGGCAGGCAGCTCCTGACACAGTACCGATTGTGGTCACGCTTGCGATTGAGCCTGATGAACACATCTCTACATCCAAGCATTCAATGCCGGTGTGCATTAGGGTTGCATTGTCTCCTGGCAGGTCGGAAATGGGATGTGGCCTTGGGACTGCTGCTGTCAGCGCAAGAAATGAAGCGCACGCCCCAGTGCATAGTTGAGAGGGTTTTAATTCAGGCGAGAACTGCGCATCCCAAGCACACATTTTTCAAAGGGGGCTGCAACCGGACAAGCCTTGACAGGCAATGCGCATGGCTCCCCTAAGGATTCAGCTGTCGCAGGCTGGCTACACAGTCGAGACTTGTTTGAACCAGGACTTTCTCTTTCTCATGTGTGTTGACGGTTTGCAGGAAGCACGTTTGCGGACTGTTGACCGCCAAGGCCATAAGCGCATGCGAAGAGGGCATCTTGGCAAGGTGGGTGGTTTCACTTGAACTCCCCCAAGCCAAGCCGCTGAGCCAAACCAAGCCAACCTGCCAAACCTCAAATAGATATTTGTTCTGCATATCGCATGCTCGCAGTCACCTCTGTAGCTGCTGGCGCTGTTAGCAGTCCTAACGTTAGCCACAAGAGAGCCCCTATGCCGCGACGCAGCATTACCACTAAGGAGGCCACTGGGAACAGGCATTAAACCTCCTGCGTGGAATGTCGGCATCACCTGTGGCACCCAATGAGCCCCGTGGCTTGGAACAGTCCTGCGTGTATTCGTAGCTGTAGTTTCTTTGCCGGCTTGCGATGTGCTTCTTCTAACGCTAGGGCGTCAAAAGCCCCAGCTGCAAGATCTGAGGATTTCGCGGTCTGCTACCACACTGGCCTTCCAGCGGCACGCAGGCAGAACCAGAGCATAGACAAAGCTAACGGGTGATGTCACAGCCACGCGCACAGGTTGGACAACTGCTGTGCAGTTGCTGCCGGGTCGTGGCAGTGCCAAGGTCTTAGTAGCCAGGGTTAAGCAGTGCAAGCGTCCTGGGATGTGTGAAGCTGGAGTTGAGGTCCCTGGCCTAGAAAGCGCAAGCTTGCTGCGCATGGGTGCAGTCCTTGGTGCCTGCGACCTGTCAGCTTTCAGTCGCTTCCTTGCTAATGAAATCTAGACCTTGGCGATCAGTTTAGGCCCCCCCCAAATTTGATGCATGTGGAGCCTCCGATGATCTCCGTAGCAGTCCAGGTGAGAACGTTGAGCAATGGGGCGTGGCTCTGCTGCTTTTACTTCAACTCCGAAGCACGAATTCGCAACCTGACGCATCCTGGCCGAAGAATGTGAATGCTGCACAATTACGGAATTTGATGTGTGCCAATAAACTCCGCACAGAATTGTAGCCCAATGCATCCCAACAACCCACTCTTACCATGTGAGCCCCTACATCAGACAGTTGACGCTTGAAGCAGCACGGGTTACCTGCACAGCCACTGCAGCCTTCACGCAGTGGCATGAAAAATGGCTTCGTGAGGCTAGGACTTCCCTGCTATGCAAGGCCATGGTCAACAATGCTGCGCTCAGTGCCTGCGCAGCTGGCAGTCGATGGCAGATTGCTTTGCAAACTCTCGGGGCTTTTTCCGAAGGCCCAGCAGATGATGCGCAATTACGGCCTGGCACGGTAAGGGTTTTAGACCTGAAGCCGCTAAAGGTGGAGCCTTTGCCTTGCGCAGGTGGTGTTCGCCCATCCGAGTCTTGGACTTGCATTGTTCCTTCTCGAGGGCATCATACCATGTTCATTTGCATAGCATAAATCCTGTATCGGCCACTAACCGCAAGGAAATCACTTTCAGTTCAATGCTGAGTGCCTGCAAGAGATCTGGCAAATGGCAGCAAGCTTTGAGGACACGGTGATGGTATGCGCATGTGTAGTAGGAGTGGTGCCAAGACAATGCTTTCGCATTGCCGTGATTTCTTCAACTGTCATGCTGGCGCTGGATCCAAAGCCCTACCTGCTGCCAAGCGGAAACAGGACTTTGTTGCGGCTACAGCTGCTCGGGATGCAGCAGACCGAATTTGGAGCCACTGCGCCTCGATTTAAAAAAGACTAACTTGACAAAGCATAGCAGAATCCCTTGACGAAAACCCACTTAAGACATCTTAAGACGAGGCTGCAATCCTTTGCTGCTCCGAGCAGAGCTACTGGGCTTGGGCCCTCGAGCTGATGGATCCCCAGGCCGGGTCGGCTTCTATATGCTATATGAGGATATGCATATGGGGATTTCCCAAAATTAGGGGTACCTCTTTAGGGGTCCCAGATTAAGGATTGCAGTATTTAGGGTTGTATATTGGGGTCACCCTATGATGGGAAACTATCATATTTGCAAATTTACATCGCGACTGACCGCTCATTGGAGCTGTAGATCTAGTTGCAGCGTCTTGGTCGGGCCAGGAGCCTGCGGCGGAAGTACTCGCAGGTGTTGCGCACGCAGCCAAGCCATGCTTTTTTTGTTTGGCTTCGACAGCACATGTCCAATTACAAAGTCCTGAGGCAAGCTTGCTGTGACCGCCAGGGTCATATGGTACCTGTTTTATCCATGCTGTCTTTCTTTGAGACCTGGATGCTTTCTGCGATGAAACAGGCGACACAAGATTGCTTTCTTGAGATCCATAACGTTCCACTTGACATCCATGTGTGCTGGGGGGGGGCAGGGCGGTCAAACAAATGCTCTCTGACTCTTTTGGTTCAAGTTGTCATAGCAGATTTGCTTCATTGGTTTGTGGTGCAATTAAAATTGACTTCAGATGACCCAGTTTGGACGCACGTTTCGTGATTTGCTTTCTAAACTGCTGCCAATCATGGGCCGGTTCTTTCAGCGGTTCTACAACGATGACGAGCCGGCGCAGTCCTCAATCTGGGTTCACGGAATGCAGAGAAAATTCGCATGCATTCCTGAGGTATATTGCTGTGCAGCTTGTGGTGCGCACTTCGCACAGTACAAGGCACATGTTTGTTGCTTGTGTTTGTTATCGGCCTTTATGCGTGACTGCCTGCATGGTTTGCCAGGATTTGCTTTCGACGAACTTCAGGGGCAGGCCGGCAGACGCGGCAAGTGCTTGCCAAAACAACCAGCCATCCAACAAACATGGAATTTCAATTGAATTTGATTCGCACATTTTGTTATTCCAGAGTAGAAGCTAATGCAGGACAGGCAACGCACTGCTCTTCAACCAGGTGATCAACGTCACAGCAGGACATTGCCAGGGTTGTTACTTTCATGTTCAAGATGCATGTCTATTTGTCGCTCCGCTGGCCGACAAGGACCTTTGGAAGATAGCGTTATGACAACAGGCGATTTGCAGAGAACGTTTGATTGACAGTGGCTGCGGCTTGAACCGGTTTTAACAAACGAGAGTCAGTGGGTGGAACATCAAGTCAAGCTTCCCATGATGTGTTTTTACATGCAACTTGGAGGCCTACATACAATTCGCTGTCTCTTCTGTGTCGTGTGCCATGACCTTACACTGCTGCATTAGTCGCTGCCAGTAATGCATGCAAATAAGATGCTGTTGCTTGCCAAGGCGAAGAGCGTGTAGGTTGGAAATATGAGGCCTTGGAAGCGTCTCGCAGCTGCAACGTGTTATGGAATGTTTGATGGAGTGAGGCATCCGCATTCTTGTTTTATATTACCATGCACATATTGCATATCAAGTATCAGAAAGGACAAAAATGTGGAGATGCGGGTTTGGCTGCTAGCAGGTGGCCTTCGAAGAGGACCAGAAGTACAAGGCATTGCCATTCCTTTCAGACTGGCTGCATGAAACCACCATGGCATATTACTCATATCCGAATGAATACACTGTATGCAGACATTTATGTGTATAATTTTTTTGTAAGTGTTAAATACACCCAGAAAGCCGCGGTTCAAGGAAGGCCGCTTCATCCTGGAAGAAGAGTTGCTCTCATCCACGGTGCAGGTGTGATTGCAGTGCAACCTCTTTGATTCTTGCATTGCCCACGCGCTGCAGCAGGGGATGAGCTGAGCTGCGCAAGGTGTCCAAACGCGAGGCGGACGTTAAGTGCGATGTGTTGAATATGTGCTTGTTGGTTGGATGCCTAGCGCAATGACGACCCTACGAGGCACTGAGCTTCTCTCGAAGGCCAGATTCTTGACGAGCCCGGCTACTTGAAAAAGTTTCCTCAAGATGGTCGCAGACGAAGAATTTGAACTGCGACTTCGTTTTGGCCATTGGGAGCATCAAGCAGCGCATCATAGCACGTCTAAAAAGTCGAAGGACCCGGCTCCCAAAGACCTCCCGCCATTGCCAAAGTGCGACCCCATGTACATAGCATGCCCTGGCACTAGATTCGCTGGATGGATGCCACTTGCTGGAGCGTCAGATCTGGAAGTGAAAGCAGATGCTGGAAGGCCTTCTGGCAAAACGAAGCGCATCTATGTGCTGACTTCTTTTCAATTCATTTCCATGGCGGCAAAGGCTCGGAGAGCGGCGGACCGGAACCGTTCATACAGGCTTTTTGCAGAGCCGCCATTTTTCACTTGCAAGCACAGGGCCCGCATGTTTGTGCGCGCGTTTTTTTTAATTTTGGCCTGGCAGCAGGTGGATTTGACACCTGAAGATCTGGGTCATTTTGGTGAGACGTATATGGAACAGCATAAACCTGTTAGAGTCTGGAAGCCTAGATATTGAGGTATATTGATAGGTACCGAATGATGAGCCAGAGGTGGATGGCTACAGCAAGGTACAATCCACAACTTCGACGCCATCAGTCATGATGAACTTGACAGAATCAGCTGTCCTCAAAAAGAACATGTTACACGGCGCTCTTCGAGGTTGAGAGTCTCGGCGACCAGCTCCCGCTACTTCCATCAATTCTAGCAACGTAACGTGCATAATGTCGCGTAATGTCATCCCTGTGGAGCTTTGTACACATGTCGAGTTGGCTCCGAGCAGATTTTTGCCGTTAGCATTGCAGGACTGTATGATCTAATTGGTGGATCACGTTGCCGATTTGTTTGCTCCGTTTCCCGCTCAGGATCAGAAGGCCATGATCCCGACCACGCATGTGCAAAAGTTTGAGATCATCCAACTCAGTCTCACAAAGCCTGAGTCACAATGAAGCAACCTGAGCAAGCTTCGAACAACAAATTTTCAAACTGCATTTACACATTTGCAGGCACCTAGATGCCTTTCATGTGCTTGCTACCCCGCACCTCGAACAATCAGCCATCTCAATAGCATGCAGCAGGTTCTCCCTTCGAAAGGGCACTGTGCCATGAATCCAGAATTTCGTGCTATCTCAGTCAGCAAGTCCGGATTTGACCATGCCATGCCCTCACCTGCGGTGCATGTCTTTGCCTTCGCAGCGTGGGCCTCGTGGATGCTTTGAACATCATATATTGATGAATGAGCCGCATGCGTTGGTAGCCACGGGAGTAGTGTTGTACTACGGTGCCATCACTGGGAATTCTAGAGCTGCTGAAGTGCTTCAATGCTTGTGACGAATTGGCCTGGAGTCGAAGTATTCAAAGCATTCAGGCAGTTCACCTCCGCGTCTTGCTTTGCATAGCGTGCGTTAGGGATTGCAGCTTTTAGCACACACAGCACCCAGGATTCTGCACACCCCAATTTGTGCACCTTGGCCGGCTCTGTGTCCGCAGCTGGCGGGATCCTGCATGTGGCCACGTGCTTGGTGATCATCCAAACCGTGACCTATGGCTGATGTGCGTCGCTTTCGCGCAGGTTGGTTTGGGCTACGAGGAGGACTCGAACTCACCTGGCCCATGCCATGTTGTGCTACGCATAGGATCTTCACAATACCCAGGAAACACCTCTCGGTGCTGTTCCCCGCGAGGCGCCGAAAAGCAGTTGTTCAACCCAGAGTATAACCCCCCTGTAACCCAAGTTTAAACCCAACACAACCCCAATACAATCCAATGTAACCCCAATGTAACCCCAGTATAGCCCCAATAACCCCCATATAACCCAATACGCCTATGAGTATCCAATATAACCCCAATAGAACCCCAATAGAACCCCAATGTAACCCCCCTATAACCCAATACCCCCTATGAGTAATGAAATAGAAGTACAATCCAATGTAACCCCAATGTAACCCCCATATAATCCCAATATAACCCCAATATTTCCCTAATATAAGCCCAATATTGCCCTAATATAATCCCAATAGAACCCCAGTATAACCCCCATATAACCCATAATCCCAATAGAGCCCCAAGATCTTCCACTGGATCAGTCGGAGGCCTTGGACTCGATAGCAGAGGCCCTGGCTGAGCAGGGCAAGGCTGGCGCCGCCTATTGGGATGGATATAGGGTTTAGGGTTTAGGGTTTAGGGTGTTATGGAATCTACAAAAATGGGTTATACATGGATTATAGGGTATATATTGGGGTTACATAGGGATAATGGAAAATAAAATGGAAGCTATATAGTGGAAAAGAAAATGGAAACTACAGGGAGTATAGGGATTAATATGGGGATCATATAGGGATTCTATAGGGTATATATAGGGGTTATGAATTGGGATAATGGAAATAACATGGAAACTACTATTTGAGGTAGTTTAGGTTTAGGGTTGGGATGATATTGGGATAACGGAAAATAAGATGGAAACTACTATAGTATATTGGCATATTGGGGTTATATTGGGACAATGTCAAATAAAACGGGAACTGCTGTGGGATAGTGGAAAACAACATGGAAACTACTAGAGTATATTGGGGTTATATATATATATATCTATATGTATGACGTGTGCTGTGCGATCGCTGGAACCCATCAACACAGAAGTTCGAAGCAATGCAGCCGCGATGGAAGAGTGCATGGGTAACCTCTCACACCAACAGCTACGGTCGCTGTATTTGCATTGAGGCAAGACAAGTACAGGGCCAGCGCATGGCCGCCACTTTGCATTGCATGACCAAAGAGGACACTTTGATCTTATCCGAGTTACGGCCCTTGAAGCTCAGGTATCATGCTTTGCAAGTGACTTTCATTGCAGGAATGCAAGAAGACCAAAGGTCTACAGAAGGCGCAGCTGCCGCGGCGTGTGCCAATCTTTACCAGTACCAGTGTGGTAAAAGGTCATGCAAAGGACATTTTGATGTGTGACATCTTTTGTTATCATTTTTCCAGCCACAGGGCATCAAGGCATACTGGCTCGAAAGCTTTGAACTCTGCGTGCGAAGTAGCCAGCCATGGTTTTGGTCACCATTACGATGGGCCCCTCCGGAAGACAGATGTTTTCTGGAGATATGGATCAGCAGTCTCGGGTGCAAGACCTGAAGCAGTTGGTGCTACCTAACGTGGCAACGGAAAAGATGACCCTGCTGCATGGGGGCAACATGATGGAAGATTCCTCCGTACTTGGAAGCTATTTGACTGAACCGCACGCAATGGCACTTGAGTTGACTCTTACTCTCCGCCGAGTTTCCATCTACGCTGATCTTGATGGTGCCTGGTTTGGGGACCAGCGGTATATCCCTGCTGTGCACGAAGCTGGCCGGACTGTGCATCTCTTGGATGGTGTTTGTTGGTTCGAGCTTTGTGGCACTTTCAGGGGGATGGAGGGCGGCAACTGGAGCATCTTTCTCAGGGTGAAGCGGAAGCATCGCATCTATTTCGACACGGATGTGATCGTCTCCCTCAATGGCTCAGAAACCAAGACCTTTGTCCCTGGGGTGTTGTCTTCTTTGCCTGAAGAGCAGTGGACTTTGCTTGATTTGGGTGCCTTCCAAGGTTCGGGCTCTCTGAAAGTGGAACTGAAGGGTGCAGACTGCAGCAACCACGGCCAGCACTCCAAGAGCGGCCTGTACATAGACCAGCTGCTTGCGGAGCCATGTTAGCTGTTGAGCTTTTAGTAGCACTTGGACAGTAGTGCTCGTAATTTAGTGATGTATAGGCTGAACGAAAGGGAGAACATGCGAACGGTGAACACAACCAGGGCTGAGCTTTGCTTTCAAGACCCTTCAGGGCAATTCATGCTATGAGAACATATGAGAACCGGAGAGTTGAGTTTCGTGATTTCTTCTGTGGTTGAAGACCCCCAAAGGTTGCCCAAGCTTGTATTTGAAGGGGTGTACCCTGGGGTAGGAACCCTAGCTGGTGCTGGTGCTGGTGCTGTTGGACGGATTCCCAGGTTCGCCCGGAATGTTTTGGAGCTTGCTGAAAAGAGATGGTCTGTCGAGATGTTCCCTAACATCGGTGTTGGGTGACTACCTCAATCTACCCAGCATATGCTGGGCATCTCTTGGAAAGTTTTGGGCAGGTGCGCAAGTTCTTTGCTGTCGGAGACTCAGCCAAAGTTGCTGGGCCCTGTCACATCATACCTGTATGCCTTGTGGCAGAATTTGTTGAACTATTGCCCTGGGGTGCTGCACAAGGCACTGATGACATGCTGTACATATTCAAGAACTAGTCTCAAACTCAACAGCCATGAACAAACTCTTGACGTCCCGTTGCCCTGTTTAAGTCAAGAAGAAGCTGCATGCAACTGAGGTTTGGCCTCATTTGCGCGACTTTCACGAAGAGGACTCCATTTCTTTTTGTTGCTTTGGGTGTTCGGGTAGTAATTAGGGGGCTCCTTTGATCCACATTGAGGGATCTTTCTTGCAGCATGGCGGCTCATACGTGTGCTTTGAGGACCTACTGGTGGTAATGGATGGCTGGGATGTCGTGTTGGCGCCTGAGCATGTCAACATTACGCTAGTCTGCCACTACTACCACTAAGCCTGTGTCGTGGAATCCTCAGAATGACTCAAATGCGTTGAGGATCCCTGCAGGCGAGTTATGAAGTGTAACAGGATAGTCAGATACAGTAACTTCATACTACAGTGGGGTGGGCTCGGAGAGGGGCTGACCTTGAAAGGCATGTTGTGGAAAACATTTCGGATGCATGGGCGATTACAGGGGCCCCCACCCCCCAACACTAAAAAAAATCCTTTCCGTGTCATGGTATGCCTACATCAAAAGTCACAGTACCAAGTAGTTATGATATTGTTAGTAAAAGTTCTTGTAGTAGTGAGAAGATAACTTTAAGTAGTAGCAGCAGCAGCAGCAGCAGTAGTTTTGGTACCTATGCCCAATAGGCTGGAGACACCCAGCCTGGAGCACTTGCGGGACACCTTCGATCACATGCAACGCCGCCTTGGGCACTGGCCTCACAACTTCTCGTTGGGACAAATCAAGTGTGTATTGTGAGTATCAGTATCCCTATATACCATCATTATCTTCGTTTTTCATTGCGATTACGTTTAATTTTACTGTGGAAATGTGTGCTATTTTTTGCGATGTAGTTGTGCATTGATCTCTGATATTACTTTTGCTGCTACTACTGATGTGGCCTGTCAGAGGCCCTTAAACAGCTTGCCCACGGGCCCCGTCATCTTCAGTGGTGAGGCCAACTGCTCGGGCCCTGTTCCTTCGCACCTGCAGTAGGGACACACTCCACACAGCAACCCGCCCTCCCCACCCTACCCCCCAAATCACGAATCTTCCCCTGACATAGTACCATTCACTGTTATGCACCATAATATGTTGGGGAGTATATTTAAAGGGGGCACCTTCTTCCAGGTGTACTCACGCTAAGGTAGATAGAATATGGCTTTGGGTACATTATAATAAGATCTCCAGATATCCCATATTCTACAGTATCTACTTAAGGGGGACGATACCCTAAACCCTACACCCTACCCCCAAACAGTAGTTTCCATTTTCTTTTCCATTGTCCCAAGATAACCCCTATAAAGCCCCATATTCTATCTACTTAAGGGGGACTACAATCTAAACCCTAAACCCTAAACCCTACAATCTAAAGGGTCCTGGGATTCAGGTTGGCCCTTCGTCCATCCTTGGAGCCAGCCGCCTTACATGCGGGCTGCTTAGAGTCCATGTACGTAGAAGCCCAATATAACCCCTTTGTGACCCCAATGTAAGCCCAATATAACCCCAATGTAAGCCCAATGTGAGCCCAATATCACCCCAATGTAACCCCCATATAACCCAATACCCCCTAGTAAGGAAATAGAAGTTTGTACGCTGCACACGTTTACCGCTCTCGAAAAATTAGCCCAAGTCTGACAAAGAGGGAGTGTAGCTCAAAGGACGGGAGACTACCGGCCCGGCTACGTGTACAGTTTTGGTGCAGGATACGAGCTGCGGGGCGACAAGGCTTGGCAAAGGGGGGTTGTGGCTTGCAAGTGCCGTGGAGTTTTCAGATGTTGCGGCAAGAGCAGAGAGAGGCTTTGGCTCTTCTCAAAGCTAATTTGATGGGCTTGGGTGACCAGGCAGGTAGCAGTGGAGGCACCAGAATCTTCCAGGGGTTCCAAACCAGGGTATTTGAATACGCCCTTGGTGTTCTTAAATATGCCTTCAGAACTGGAGCCAGGGGCTGGTACCGAACTGGGAAGTCTTCAGAATGTCCATACCTTAAGGGTCCAACTGTTGTGGAGGTGCATCGTATGGAACCATTGCCACTTGTACCCGGCGTGAAGGTCTGTGAGCACTGGCGACAACATTTGGGTCATCCCGGAAAAAGCCCTGGACATCACTTCGGCCAAAACCGCACAGAGGCCCTTTGCCGCTATGGTGTTGTGTGCTCCATGGCAGCTACAGATATCAGGTTTTGCCATTGTTTCTCCCCTTCCTGAACAGCGGTGTTTTCATGGGCCGCGCCACTCGGCTCCATTTGGCTTGGAAGGCTTCAAACTGCATATGCAGGCACAGGCAGTTCTGCTTCAAGCAGCTTAGGTTGGGAGCCTTCGTGGGCTTTTTGCTTTGGCCGCAGATGTTCTGCGACGCTTCGGAGACTTTGCAGACCAGGCCCTGAAGCATTGGGGAGTTTGAGATCCAGTGGCAAAGCCTAACTACCATGTGAAGGCCCTGGCGACATCTACAGCGCTTCATGCCAGCTTGCTGGCAAGACCCTGGGTGGGCTTCCCAGCCTGCGAGCGGTCTGAAGCTTGCTGTGGAGAGATTTGGGTTCCACCCTGAAGGTGCCTTTGCGCGTGGTCCAGCTGCCACAATTTGCCCTTTGAATGCGTTGGCAGCCGTTGTGGAGAAGCCAGGACCACACGGGCGAGCTCATTGCTTCCCTGCATGGGGTGCCTCTGCACGAACTGGCCAGGCCGAACCCGCATTTTGAAAGACTTAGAATTCCTATGATGATGCCTCCAAAGAGCTCTCGTGCAAACTTGAGAAGATAGAAGCTGTGGCCGCTGCGACCTCTAGGCGATTGAAAACAGCGCCTGCTTGACCCCCAGGTGCCAAACACGTGCTTGGTCTGGTCGGTTTAGCTGGCTGAAGAGAATCCGCGTTTGCTAGGTTTGCAGCTTTCGTGGCCGCATGGTCCGCAGCTCCGAGATGTGTAAGTTTTACATGTGCCAGTGAATTATCAGGTCATGAGTCACCGTCCAGCACTATCACCCGCTTGTGGGCCGACCAAGGAGCACGGTTTCTATGCTGCGGCAGCCAGAGAGCGACAGCGGTGACCTTATCGTTTTGGATGTGTCTTCTTCTACGACAGTCGTCGCAGGCCGGTCCGGTCGAAGTGGAGTCCTGCAAATCTCAAGGCTGACAGCTTCAGCTCTTGAACATCCTGATGCCACTGAGCGGAGAGCATGGTGCAGGCTAAACGTCGGGAAAACAGGCCGCCGCCACTGGTAGTCAAGTACTCAGCTCCAGGATCTTAATGTGCCACTGAGCACCACAAGGGTGGGCCCGAAAGGCTGCACTTGCAGCTCCTGCCAGCAACGAGCAACGTGAGCTCGGTGCCTTGTGAAACAAGGCTCATTTCAACGGCGACAAGAAGCCATATTTTCAAAGCGAATGCCACGAGTCTGTTCGCTTCGAGGCCTGCGAAGGTGTGCGAAACTGGCTACTTGCAGTTAGATGGGTAGTGAGCCTATTCTGCAGGCGTCACTAATGGGCTCGATGGCGGGTCAGTGCCTCCAGCCCAGCGTTGACGACCTTGCAGAGCTCTCTGGTCGCTGATTCTTGACACTTGACATCGCATCAGGTCGTTTGCTGGATGTGGACCACCGACAGGAGATTTTCTTCCTGCCGAGCTCGACGGACGCCTTGCATTGAACAAGCTTGCAATGATTCTAGCAACCATAGGTCATTGGGTTCTCACCAGCTTGCCATGGCCTGGGCACACATGTGAACCAGGAGGCAATTCCGCACCTGCGCAACGCCTTGGACTCGGAATGCCGATGCCGAAGCTGACCTCGTCCGATGCACCTCTGAATGTCCTGGTTCTTTGTTGCGAGGCTTCATTGCCAGTGTTTTCCGGGCTGATTTGTCTGAGAGAGGCAGTCAGAATCCGCATCAAGACCGACTGCGCCAGGCGGACGCCACCGCCGCCACACTTGACGCGCTTGCTGGGCATCTCGGGCGCTTCCGGCTTGAAGACTGCCTCGGAGGCCCGTGCTCCTTGAGGCAGCCCCTCCTTGTGGCTTCCTGGAAGTCAGGTGGCAGGCAGGCTGCTTTCGCAAGCAGGCCACGGCATACTAGCAAGCAGCTCAGAGGCTCGAGGTGATGGTGATGGAGGCTGATTGAAATCCCGGAGTTTCGCAGGTGCAGAAGCTTGCGCCCGGGCCTGCATCGAACAGCTCATGGCGCCTGGGAGCCAGGCCAGGTTCAGGTAAACCAGGGTTCCCACGCGCCCACCTATACACTGAACATGTGAGGCATTTTTAGTTTGGGCCGGTCCAGATTCCATCTTCCGCCGTGACAGGCCTTGCCTCGGAGACGTTCCGCTTTGGTTGTGGCAGCCCTGGTCACCTGCTTGGCTGAATGGCCAGCAAACTCGCGGACTTCGAGTTGCGTTCGTGTTGGGGGGGTATCTCAAAATATGGGGATGATGACTCGAGCTCCTGAAGCATGATCACGCATGCAAGAATGGTAGGGTACACCACGGCAGCGTGATGCCGTTGGTGAAGAGACTCTCGTCAGGTTCGAGCCGCCGGACCCACAAGACCCGCTTTCCTTGTCAGGAACTTGGTGTAGGGAAGAGTGTGTTGTTCTGTCTTCTTAAGATTTCTACATGCTACATGTCCTGGTCCTGCAGCCTCACTGCAGATAAGGTCGACCCCAGTGCAACTTCAGCAGGCAAAGGAAGCGCGGCAGCCAAGACGACTCATGCCCCTGCTGTTTGCGGTTGCGCTCAAACTGGGATTCTGCATATCTCCAGCACTCGAATTCTTGAATGGGCTATGAACCCTTGAAGCTGACAAACTTGCCGCGTGTCGAACCGAACTGTCAGATGAGATTGCGGATCGCTGCGAATCCTTCCAGAGACCTGGCTCACATGGAACAGCCATCCAAGCAGCCACACTGATCACTTCCCGTCTGCCGTAAGTTCTCCAGCGGGATCACAACCCATTTTCTGCGCTAATCACTTGGAAAGATCGTGGCGCTTGACAGACTCATTACACTTACAGCCCCTGTCTGTAGGCCGCATGATTATCTTAGTCATCCCCACTATTAAAGGTCACCAGGCAGGTTATTTCACAGCTGCACAGACTCTGCAGGACAGATCTACTTAAAAAGTACCTTCAGCACGCTTCAAGGCAGGATGGCGAAACCTGTAATGGTCTTGACAGCAGTGGATTCACACTGCATGTGGGCTCAAGGGAAGTGTTGCCAGATAAGATGTAGCTGTTCATGAGACTGTCTGTTGAACCAAGTACGAATTATGAGTTTGTAGCAGGCGTTGCCTGTTTCAGTCACCAGTACACTGCAGCCCGAAAGATGCGTAAATGAACTTAACTCTAATTTCGACAACTCCCCAGAATGTGTGATGTGGCAAGGTTGGCCACCGAGCGCTCGGTGCCATCTTGCTGGAGAGCACTGAAACGTCCTGCCAGTCTGCAACTTGATGGAGACAAGCAAAGCTGTACGTGCACTGATCTCCTCAGCCCAGGCAAAAGTCTTCTGAGCAAGGCTACTGTAACATGCCCGAGCCCCGTCAGACCCGAGCTGGCGAGAGCCCTCCCACCGTTGATTTTTCTCTCTTTCGCCTCACCTCCTCCACGTCCAGTGTTACATCACTTCAGGCTCGCGCAGTTGAAAGCAAGCTGGTCCTGCCTTGCGTTGTGACCTTAGCCCAGCCTGCCCGGCATCAAACGCGAAGTGCACGAAGTGAAGTACTCGTAGGAACTTGCTTTCGGCATCCCCAGGCCGCATGGACATGACTCTGCTGGCTTGATGCTGGCAATGTTTCACGCGGCTGACTTCGAGGCCTTCCGCCTGCGTTTAGGCGCTTCATTGCGCTTCCTTTTGTGGATGCCGACCCTTTGCTTGGCAGGCCTGCTTTGCAGATGAGGTCAAGGCCAACCGAGCCATTTTCGAATCGTATTGTTGCAAGCTACAAGACGTGTCTTTTTGCCGCCCCCGCGGTTGAGTTGCAAAACCTGCCAGGCTTACAGCTGGATGGCCATCAGGTGCGAGTCAACTGCGTGGTCTTGTGAAGGTTGGAAAGGTGCTTCCTTTGTGCCTTGGTGCGCGAGTAGACTTCATCGCAAGATAGCTTGACTAAGTACATCCTGTGCGTCAGGTCCAGAGGCCGATAGGTTGTTTGCGCTTAGCAGCGTGGAAGGTTTGGTTTGTTCTGGTCATGAGCAATAATGCAGAGGAAACAGTTCTTGTGTTGTTTCTTGCACCTTTTTGCCTTCTGTACAGTGAGTACAGGTAAGGATGCCTCAGGCAAGGACATTCCAGAGATGCCCAGACAAGATTACAAGCATGCCTTAGAGAAGCGAGAGTGCTTAAAAAGACAATGGGAAAGATGGAAGCGCAAAGAAGCACTGTATCAGGATGGTAGACAATGATGAGGGAGACTCCGGGGCTCCTTATAGGAGGTCTAGGGATTTTCCTAGGCCTCCTAGGGATCACATGGGTCCTTGTGGAGATTTTGCATTGGGCCTTTTTGGGCATCTTAAGCCTGCAGGGCTGCGGAATCCCGCGTGGCGCTTTGCGCCGCATCGCCCGGCCCATGGGGGGACACGAAGGGTGTGTCACCGGGTTCATTCGTGCATGGATTCCAAATACTTGCTAGGGTCCCTTTCCGGGTCCCCGGTAGTAGGGACTGCATCAAGGGACCCAATTTTAGTACGTTCTCAAGCTAGCTGGAAGAAGTGGATTTGAATCCCAAAAGTCTTCGTACAATCTGACATAACATACCCGCGGCAATCGTTCAACTTTACATGTTATAGAGTTAAGTATCAGTAAGTGCTTTCTACGCCACCCTGCCTCGCTGGCATTTGTCTGTACTAGGAAGCCCCAAGAAGGATATGCGGTGCTGAACTTGGAGCCTCGCTTGGAGGCGGAAAGCCCCAGTAAGGGAAGGCCAGAACAAGCCCGGGAGCGGAGTTGGCAAAAAGTATTCGGTTCAGCATCGCCTCTTTAAATCCTTGCTGCCAACAAGAGCAGACATGGCTGACCTTCGAGTGGTAAACTTGGCGGGTGAGCTGATCATCGAAACCAATTTATTCGAAGCGGATGAGTTTGGTGGACCAGACGTAGCAGGCTGCTGGGCGGTGTTCTTATGGGCAGCTTAGCACTTAAGGGCCCATATAGTATATCGGTGTTCTATTGGGGCATAGTGGAAAAGAAAATGTAAACTACTAAAGTATATTGGGGTTTAGTAGTTATTTTAGGTCTTAAATCCTAAGTTTCTGGTTGGCCATGCCCAGTGTTGCCTGGACCCTTTGGCCAAGTCGAAGGCTACATACGGAAGCTTGTGCAAGAAAAGACCGGCTTCCCTCCCTTCCGGCTAGCGCTCCTGATAGAAACTGGGTTGCTGTTAAGGAACTTAATTTAAGTTACTATATTGGGGAAACTCTATTATTTACTGTATATACCCATTATGGTAACTTAATTTAAGTTCCTTAACAGCAACCCAGGAAAAGGGCAAGTCCTGGCATCAGCTGGGCCAGCCATCTGAAGTTCAAGCCGTGTTTAACCAAGCAGTCAATGATTATTGTGCAGATTTAATGATGCTCAGCTGCATCAGCTCTTTTGGGCAGGTAAGGCCTTCAGTAATGGTTTCAAGGGCCAGCGGATGCAAGGGGCTCAAAGGTGCAAGATGGTGTCATTATAGCCGAATCAAAGCAAATCAAAGGCCAGGCTAGCTCAGAGAGGCTCGTTTAACAGAATGCTAGACCAGCCGGGACACCGTTCAGACGTTTCCACAGCTTTCAGAGTGACATCGCAAGCACTGAAGCTTTCCACGCCTCAAGCTCAAGAAAGCGACGGACGCTCTCCAGATCCATTGCCGCTCTCCAGATCCATTGCCAATGGCTTCCCCTGTCACCGGCAAGGGCGTGGAGTCATGACAAGCCTTGCAGTTGAGCGTTGCACATGCGGGTGAATGCTCAGATGTTAATGGAAAGCATGGTAGAGTCGCAAGTATCCACCAACCAGCTTTTAATTTCTCGTGTTCATAAGATCTTGCACGCTGAGAGAGGGCGTCCTTGTCGGGAATTTTGGCATATCGCATGAGCATAGCTCAGGACAGCAATTTGGTCGCAAGACGTTGAGACTGTCATGCAGATCCTGGAGAAGCACCAGGAGCCTAACTGCTGCGATCCGGACACTTTGCCTGTTCTTAGATCAATATTTTACTGAATTGGGTGGAGGATTCACTCAAGAACTTCAACTGTCATGTGCAAACGGCATTGTAGAGCTTCATGGGAGGAGAAGATAACAGCTCAGCTGCAAAAAACAAAGTGGCTGCTGAAGGAGCTGCAGCAACACCTCCGTCCAAGAATCCAAAGCCTAAGGATCACAGGTGCGCTGCTCGCGTTGCCTGCGTTGCCGGAGCCGGTGATGTTTTGGAGCTTTTGCTTCAGGCCGTTCTATCTGTAAGTGCATATCATTTGTAAACCTGAAGGGCCTTTGCATTTTTCAATCTGCAAGGCCGGAGCAGACAGGGATGTGATCAATGAGAAGGGAGAGTGCCTCTTGCATACGGCGGCCGCGAATGGTAGCATGGAGTGTATTCGACTTTTGCTCGACCTCGGTGCTGACATCGAGTCTGCTGAGGAAAGTGGCTTCACGCCTTTGCACATTGCGGCCCAGAGTGGCCGTATCCAGGTGTTTCGCCTCCTTTTAGAGGCCGGCGCAAACAGAGATGCCCTGGACCAAACTGGAGCAAGTGTTCTACACACTGCCGCAGAGCACGGGCAAGTGGAGATAATCAGCTACCTTCTGGGCCTCGGGATGAATATAGAGGTGACAGAAGAGGCCGGGGCTACGCCCCTTTATGTCGCAGCTGAGAGCGGCAAGCTCGAGGCAGTTCGATTCTTGATCCAGGCTGGGGCTTACATAGACACCGAAGATGAATCAGGGGCAACACCGATATACACAGCGTCTCAGCATGGACATGCTGATGTGGTCGATTGCCTTGTGAAGGCAGGAGCAGACAAGGAAAAATGCAAGAGGTATGGTGGAAGTCCATTAACCATTGCAACTTGGCATGGTCACATAGATGTGCTGGATGCACTTGACGAGGATCTGGAAAGTTTTAAAACACAGAAGTCTGGATTCTTACAGGAGCTACAAGCTCTATTAGATGAATGCGGTGGTGGCAGTTTGTTCAGCAGATAGATCTCACCATGGAATTCAATAGACATCCATGACACCCCTTGCTCGTCGGAACTCTTGCTCCGTTTCTAGGACCGGGCAGTCAAGCTCCCCGTGAACTGAAAAAGAAAGGTTTCGCGCGCTCATGTCTTGAGCTTTCGATGCTTTGCATGCTGGGGGTCCTGTCTTCCGAGTCTACATGGATATCATCCTCAATAAGAGAAAAGTTCCCTTTTCTTTTCCATTCCCTTATATATATATGCTATATATATATACACACACATAGCGCTTCTTTTGCTTTGCAAATCCTCGCAAGCTGTTTCTGCCAAGGGCGCGCCTGAAGCCTGATGCGGAGCACCAGGCATTGCCAAACTGCCCAGGCCAGGCAGCACGATCCTCAGTGAACTGTCCTGATCGACAGTGTTATTGTCACTATTATTCTATTGGATAATGGAAAAGAAAATGGAAGCTACTATAGTATGGTAGGATTTAGGGATACATAGCATATGAGCTATAGTCTAAACTCCTTAAAGGGGGGTTTTGTAGCGGATTATATTGGGGAGTATTATAGGGGTTATTAAGGGGGATACTAGGAGTTTAGATTACAGCTCATGGGGTAAATTCCATGAACAGGGGGACCCTTTATGTAGCACCAAAATACTATAATTAATAATAATCCATATCATGGGGGCGCCTCAAAATGATTTGATTTTTGGACCCCCACCCAACATACATGGTCACGCGCTTGCGGGCCCACCCCCCCTCCTTCAACGGTCCAGGCCTCCTTCCCACTCCCCTGTGCGTGGCTGTAGTTGGGGGTTGAGGAGGACCTTTTCTTCCCCTGTGGGTGTGGTTGGGGTTGGGTGGGATGAAAAGAGATGACTTGAGGTCTTCCCCTCTCTCATGTGGTTGTGGGTGGGTGTGGGTCTTTCAAATGGAGGAATTACGTAAGCCATTTCTAAGCTTATATGGTATGGGGATGAGAGAAGATATTTATATGATGAACTAGGATTATCTATAAATGTGTAGATATTCAGATGGATCATCATTCCTACGCAGCCTGTGCAGTGTTTCTGAGATTTCAGAGGGTCTTAGAAGGAGACATGAGCTTCATGGTGGCATATTAGAAACGTTCAAATACCAGCATCGACCACAGCCCGAAGGATCGCGTGGCAAACTAGCCCATCCCTGTAACTGTCAGCAAATTTTGAATCTTCTACACAGACAGAATCAGAGTCCAAAAGTGGTGACAGTCCGTTCCAGACACCCAATCCCTGTGACTGTTGGCACTTTTGAGATTGCGAAGTGCTAAAAACGATAACAGTCACGGAGATTCCATTTCATGGGTGCGGGGGGGCAGGAACGCCAGACGCCTGACCATATATTCTGACACGAGGTCAATCCCCTCATAATCCCTACATGGTAGTTTCCCTAAATAAGGGAACCCAATATGGACCCCAAAACAATCCTTAGTCTCGGAATCCTCAAAAAGGTATCCCGACTTTTGGGAAACCCTCCTTTAGCCCTTGGGGGTCCTAAGGGCATCCTTTTTTGAGAAGCTCCCAAATGACCAGAAGCCAGAGGCAAGTTCCAGTTGCATTCGCATCGCTATGTGTAGGATTTTTTAGGTATATTTGAGTTATAAGGGAATTCTCAGGGTCCCTATGAGGGATTATACAGGGATAGTTTTTCATTGTACCATCCTCCTTTCTCCGTCCACCACGCATCGAGAGTTTAGGGTCTAGGGTACAAGAGCTTTGTGAAGGAGTTGAGGGTTCGGCAGTGTTTGGGAGTAAGTATTTCGGGCGATATAATTGCACTCTCAAACTCAGCAGGCATTCTCCAGGAAGTCCATGCCGATCTGCAATTTGCATGGCTGATGCGTGTCCGGACAAGGGCTTTCCTCTGTAACCGAGGTTGCGGACTTTGCCACCTTGATGCCGCCTTGGGAAGCCCTATGCTCAGAATGTTCTGGGTCCAGGTTGCGTAAAGGCCTTCCCACTACATGAACATGACCTGTGTTTTGCCGCAGTTCGGCGGGGTTGCGTGTTACCGTACGGGACTGATCATGGTTGCATCCCCACTTTGCAAACCACGAGGGCATGGACTCGGCGCAGACCAACTACATCTAACAAAGGGATAAGAATGTAAGTATGCGTGCCGCGTGCCTCTTCGTTTGTGTTGCGCAGGCAAATCGGTTCAGATGGATCCACTTCGATGGCGTGGGCATCTTAGTTCTAGCCAAGGATCCGGCAGCAGAATGGTCGCCAGTCAGGCAAGCAGGCAAAATCTTAAGCCCTCTCCAACGATATAGAAAAGATATATACATTATAATAAGAATTCACAATCATTTTCCTACGGATATACAAGAAAATGCCTGAATAAAATGGCGCGGCCACTTGCGGCCATGTCGCTCGCGCGGGGCCCAGATTTTTCGGCTCTCCACTAGAATGCCTCCTGCGGGCTCCCTAACCTATCTAAAAACTGCCGAGATTTGTAGGGCCTTTCGGAAAAGCTAGAGACTCGAAAATCTCTGAGATTGCTGGTCTGAGGGGGGCGACCTCGGAGATTTTGGTCGCGCGCCCTCAGGCACGACGTGGCGAGCCGGAATGACGGTCAATCAGTCAGGCTGCCAGTCTGTCAATCTCTGTGTGTTTCGGTCCGTCGTTCTGATGGTTTGTCGGTCGTTCGATGAGTCTGGCAGGCGGTCTGTCAGTTTGACGATTTGAGCATCGGTCTTCTGTTGGAGTTGTTGGCCTCTCATTCTGTTGATATCTGACGTTCTCTGGAGTATCGGAATCTGTCCATCTGTCGGTCGGTCTTTCTATCCCTCAAGCGGTCTCAAAAAGTTCTCAGATTGTCAATCTTTCGGTCGATCTAACTGCGGGGGCATTGGCCTGTCCGTTCGGTAGGATTGACAACCTATCGATTTCATGATATCTCGAAATGATAGATCGGTTCCTCTAAATGTCAAATTATCGGTTTGGAATAAACATTGATTATGATAATTAATAATTCTAGATGCTACGATAATTGATATTCTTTTATAAATCGTTTCTTTCAATAATAGATTATTTATTTAATATTTCGGATTATAATTCGATCTATGAAATTCTTCATCGATTGAAAATCTATATATATATATTATATAAGAGAATCATTATTGATTTTATGATTTCTTAATTTCTTAATCTAATGTCTCGACTTAATGATTTCATAAATTATTCTTTAATTTATACTCATATATAATTGATTATATATTTCTATATTCTATTTTCTTAATGATGTTTAATTGGTATTACGAATAGATATTGAATGGTCTTATTTCTAGATATAAGATCTTGATAAGATACTAGAATATAATTCTATTTCTGATAATTTTATTTAAAATTCATAGGATTTTCATTTTCTTGCTATTTAATTATGATTTTTCAAATTCATATAGATTAATTAATAGGACTTAATTCGATTATCGAAGATTCTTTTAGTCGATTTAGAATTTTGAGCTTATGATATTAATATGTGAAATTAAATGAATATCGATTTTGAAATTAATATAATTTTCGAAATTTATCGAATTATTATTATATTATTATTCAATATAATATATTTATATTCATGGAAATTATCAAAGATTAAATAAAGATTTTCAAATTGAATTTGAAATATTTGGCTATTAATTTGATTGAAATAATTAGAAGATATATGTGGAGAAAGGTCTCATATCTACTAATATTTCAAGGTTCTAAATTCGATAATTTAATCGAATTAATACTAATTCTAGATTAGGGATTTCAATAAATTATTTTTCATTCATTTTTGATATCGTTTCTTTTATCTTTATAGAACAATAGATTTCTTGATATACGATAGATTTCGATAGATTTTAATATATGAAATTTTGATGTTTTCATATTATATATTTATGATTGCCTTTTTCTATGAATATAATAGATGATTTATGCGGTAATTTTCGAATTTCTCATGAAATATTTTCTAAATAGATATAATATTATGAGATTTCTTGAGGATGAGAAAGAATTCTATTTATTTTCTATTCTTCAATTCTTCCTAAGATTCTTTCAGAAAATTGAATTTTCAAACCTCAAATCATAAGGGATATCTCTCTAAGAATTTTCAGAGAATCAAATTTCTTAATTTCAAATTATAAGGAGAGAATTTCCTAGGATATTTCCAGAAAATCAAATTTTCAAATCTCAAATCATAAGCAATATCTTCTTAAGATTGTTCTCTACGATATCTTCTTAAGATTGCTCTCTAAGATTCTTATAAAGAATTAAGTAAGATTCATGATATTGAAATTCTTTGGAATTCGGTTCAAATCCAAATTTGAAATTCTAGATTATCTTTTATATCAAGATATAATAGGGAAATCCGATATCGAATAATTCTTTATCTTAGATATTTGAGGACGAATATCTTGAAATTATTCAATTCGGATTCTTATAGGAACCGACGTCTTAAATATCTAATTTAATCTAAAATAATTGAAATGATATTAGGATATTATTTATCATCGGAAAAAAGAAGAATAAAAAGATATGATTCTCTAAAAAAATATTTAGCACTTGCTCTTGAGAAATGAGATATAGAGATTTGATTCTCTAAAAATTATGGGCGCATATCTTTTATGATTTGAGATTTGAGAAAGAGCTTCAAGATGCCGGAATTTTCAAAATGCCGGGCCCTGCCGAAATCCGAATTGACGAGCTTCAAGATGCCCATCAATCCTTAGAAGAATTAATGATAAAGAATTGAAGATCTTGAAGATATTGATCTTTAGATAAATCTAAGATCTAGAATTTTCGGATTTCGGACCTTATAAAGATCCGAATTCAACAACACTTTTTCTATGATATGGAAAAAAAATACATATTTCGATATTTTTTTATCATGCAAATCTTATCAGATTTGAGTTATTGACTTTTACTCAAGATATTACGATATTTGCGATCTCCAATATGATATCTCTTATAGATCTATAGAAATTCATATAAGAATTTCTATATCGGAGATCCGAAATCATTTATTTCAGATATAATTTTTTAAAAAATGAGAAAATTAGATACGCGTATCGTGCAGAAGCGACGAATGAATAGATCAATTGAATCATTTTTTTTTATCGGATGCAAGTAAATATTCCGAAGGCAGATTCATTATTTCATTCGCCTTCTCAATAATATCATCCGATCGCAGGCTTCAATAATAACGCCTTAGAAAGAAAGGTTCCTTCAATCATATAACGAAATTAATATATATATATATACAATAAAAAAATTCTTTTCTTTCCTATATATCATTCCTGCTCGATCAAAAATATTCATATAATCTATATCATTCTCAAGATTCATATAGTATGCCCCGCGAAAATTATCCTAATAATAAAATATCAAAAAAATCGTCCAAAATCATCCAATTTTTATTCAATCCTCATCCCAATAATCATTGAAAATTCAATAAGCGTCTCATACGCAAATAGAATTCAGATAATTACGATAATATAAATATAAGAAAAATAAATATATATTATCTCGAAGGAGAACGCGAAAAATCAAATTAAGAATTTTAAATTTTCAATTCAATCTAAAAGATCTTTTTTCGAAATTAGAAATACGATCAATTTATTTATAAATCTATTAGTAATTCTCTTTTAAAAAAGATTCGCATATCAATGCAATATATCCTATAATGAAAATTTCCCAAATCTCAAGATAATTTTTTTCTGAATCAAAGAATATTATTTATCAAATCGATAGATTACCATCTAGTTATTGAATTCTAGTGGGCTACGATCTCTATATCAATGAATCATATGCGGGGCGGCGCGTGAAAAATTAGCGCATTGCCCAGTTATTTCAAGAATAGTCTCAAAGAATTAGATTGTGGTCTCCAGCGTACGTAACCCATTCCCGTCGTAGCCTCCCCGTTCTTCTCACGCATGCGCTTCTAGTAGGCTGCAAACTCCCAAGAAAAATTTTGCAAACGTGCAACGGGTGGTCAAGTGGAAATCTCCAAGCTTTGCCAAGAAGTAGGGGTTGTCGTTTGAGAAGCATGTCAGTGGCAGAAATGTAAGATGCTCTGCGAAGAACTTCTATGTTCGACGCCCTTGAAATGAACGCAGGTGGGATGCCAAGAATACCTCGTAAACAGCGGTTCTGAAAGCCGTCCAGCCGTCGACGATCAGCAGAAGAAAGATCGGGGTAACGATGAATGCTTCCAGACTTTTTGGAGTTCAAGAAAATCTGTCTTTGCCATAACGATTCTCCGGCCAAGCTCATGCCCCGGCAGACCATCATGAGTGAGAACAGATCCCAGGTAGTCGATGCCCAGTTTTGGCACGTTGCGTTCGTGCGCGGAGTCAATATTGAAGCTTGACATTGTACCTGGAGCAGTTGAAACTTGTCCCAGTGAAGTTCCATACCGTAGAAATTCCCAGCATTTGCCACCTCTGCAAGAAATCCTGCAAATGACAAGCAGATGTACCAAGCAAATGTGTATCATCAGCATAGACCACATCAGCCAGATCACCTCGATGGTATGCGCGCGGTGCTGAGTTGCTCAAGTTGGAAATAGCTTCGTGCATCAACACTGCCATCACAATAATGAAAAGCAGGGGCTCAGCGTGCATCCTTGTGATATGCCAGAGTTCTTGGCTACGACCTACATGGATAATAGATACTAGCGCGCTTCTCGCGCGGATCTAGCGCCATCTTCAGCCGAAAGCGTTGTGGCAACTCAAATGTCCTGGCCTTACTGAAATCTGCCTCTTGGGAACTGTCTGGGCCTTTCGAGAATACTAGAAGCTCCACACATACAATTGCCCGTGGTCAAGCTGGACGCTCGCATGACACCAATTGCTGGTACAGGAGACCTACCGAGGGTCTGCCACAAATCTGGGGCCACTTTTACCTGCGTGCCGCCTCATGACGAAGAGGCCAACCAGACCCCATGATAACATTTCCGGTCTGTTTTATATGATCTTCCTTCAAAGGTGCTTTGACCATCGCCCCAGTGACAGGTTGTACCTGATAATCATGCTGAACAAAAATAATCCCCACATAGCCCAACACAAGCTTCTTTTTCAGGCTGGCATCATGTCGGCACTTTGAAATGTCAACTCTTTCACAAGGATAATTTGGAATGCAAGCGGCAGCGGTCAGGATGCAACATACATCGACCTGTAATGGTTATCTCATGCCTCTGTGCGCCCTGCACTTCACATAACCAATACACTAAAGTGATTACGGTGAAGAGAACGGTGCTTTCTCTCTTCACCTTTTTCCCAGCACCCACCACCGCAGTGGCCACAATATTTTGGTGAATTTTGGGGACCACATTGAAAATTGGGAGGTGGGAGGTGGAAGGTGCCTGAGAAAAGTAGTGCTTTCCTGGAGGTTTGCTGCCCTCTTTGTACAAGAGATCCATGTGAGATCTGTGCCACTGAAGCAGTGAAAGGGTTCCAATTTCGGTGTGGATCATCTAGTCACAGGCTGCAGTATGAAACGGATCACACTGAAAGATCTCTGTGAAACCCCATCTGTGTGCAACTTCGCTGCTCATGAAGTTGAACATCTGAAGATTTGAGCTCCTCAGCGTGGCCGATGCAGGCCTCGCAAGCCTGCTCCATTCCTAAGCACTGGATGTGGAAAGGTTCCTCGTACATCCCACCCTTGTCTGGCTAGAATCTTCTTGTACAGCCACTACCACCACCACTTCTTTGACTACGACTACGACTACGACGATGACGACGGTCGTACGACTACTACCCCTACTAATACCAGTACCTGTACCTGTACTCATACTACTGCTGAATACTGCAGTGCACGGCTACTCCTACTGCTGCTGCTGCTGCTACTACCACGTACAGCTGCCATGCCTGCACCTGCTACTTCTCAACCCATGGTCCGTTGCCCCGAAAGACACAACTGACTGCTAAGACATCCCCGCACTAGTCACCGGGCTTGCCTTCATGTCTTGCTGCCGGACCGACTTGCTGCCTGGGAATCTATCTCAAGCGTGAAAACCTTGTTTGCTCAGCATCCGTAATACAATGCAGAGTGATGTGGCGCCCTTTGTCCGTCCGTCGTGTGTAAGCTGCCGGGTCTGAAACACAGAGGTTTCCTGGACAAGGCGCAGCAGCGCCGCATTGCGGCAGGCTGGATTTTCCAGCTGCTGAGAGCTCTTGGCACAGCTTTGGCACCACTCCCAAAAACAGACATGTGCGAGCTGACTGCGAGGAGCAAAAGCGGACTGGAAGGGTGAAGTCCACCTCTCGCAAGAAACATACAAGTAACATTTTCAGAGGATAACTCTTCAGCGATTGAAGGGTACTAAGGAGCCCCCAACCTTGGGCCCAAGGAATTTGAGGCACTCTGGCTTTCACCGAGAGCTTCAATAGCTTCATGTCTCCAGCTCATGCGAAAAGGTAGTGCAAGAGGCCAAACTCCTGGGTTGTTCTCAAAATTATGGGTAGCACCCAACATCTAAGGGTACCAAAATGGATTTAGGGTTTAAGCTCTAAACCCACGCCCTCAAACCTCTAAACCCCAAAACCCTAAATTTGGGGAACTGCCCTCCTGCACTGGCTCTGGCTGTTGGAAGCAGGGTGGAGCTGGCTGGGTCCCTGCAGTAGCAAGGCCTGCCACACCCTCCTGAGCTAGCAGTGGAGAATCAAATTGAAAATAATATGGAAATGGGGGATTTACTGGTTATATTATATTATAGGTATAATGGAAAAATGGAAGCTACTACTGGAGAATCCTTCAAGAAAGACACTTAGATTGCATCTGCTCCCGCCGTGGAGTGCGAACCAAGATACACACTTGTAGTAGGATCTGCCCCACGGTTCAAGCCCAGGGTTCGCAGCGACGACATTCCTTTGTTGCACATGTCCTGTGGTGAAAATTGTGCGTGTGTGGACCTGCAGAGGGCTTTGTGTTGGTATTTGCCGAAATTGTCAAGCATATTGAGCCGTTAAGGGCTTGTATCCTTTAGAGTTGGGTCCATGACCTGACGCTCGGAATCGTAATGCGCGCGCATGAAAAACTATCAAGCTGCTCGAACCGGATGTTCTCCATCGGCCGATCAGGGTTGCCAAACACGAGGCCGGGGCTCTGCTTCGGGTTGATCACCTCGTGGGTACGTTTTCAATGCTGGCCCCGTGCAAACCCAAACGCATCTTGATGCTGAGTAACATGAACGTTCCGAAGTGTGATGTTCGCCCACCGCATGGATGTGCTTGGCGGTGAGCAGTGGGCCTTACCATCACTATAAACCCATTATAGTAGTTTCCATTTTCTTTTCCATTATCCCAATATAACCCCAATATATACCCTATATAATCCCTATATAGCCCATTATAGTAGTTTTCATTTTCTTTTCCATTAGCTATGTAAAGCCATCCGAGACGGAAAAACTTTATTTCTGGGAGCCGGGCAAATGGCACCTGAGGCCACAATAAGGAGCATGCCTGGGCAGCTGCAAGTCATCAACTGGCATATCGTAATATACTATCTTCCTTGAACTCTCCAAAGCCTAGCCAACCTCTCGCGTGTATTTCAGGGAACAGCATTTCAGGGAACAGCCGCCGGGTCAGTCAGGACAGAAAGTCTTAGCTTTGAAAGAAATCCTGTTTTTGGGTCCTGAATAGCCCAGAATTAAGTTGGCAAGTTCTCCCGCTTTTTTTGGCCTTGGACGGGCTGGAGTAGGAGGCTCCACGCAAAAGCTCGGTTCCGAGGCAAAGTGACATGCAAGAGCTCGATTGCATGAAGCAAAATGTTAGGAAGGTCTATGCGAGAGCTCCATTCTGAAGCAGCCGGTGAGGACACTCCAGGCAAGTGCTCCATGTCACAGTAGGAGACGTCCCCCCAACTTGCGCTATGTTTTGCCTATATTCGTGATAAGGACGATAGGGTGGGGTTAGGGGAGAGCTGCGGGGTAGTCCGTACAAGCAGAGCGCGTCCTCTAACCAAGCGTTCTCCCTAACCTTGTAAGTCCCCCGCAAGTTTCCTTCGACCATACCCGTGAACAACTCTGCTTGGAGAGGCAGCCATGCACAGGCGCAATGTTGCAGTTGCCGCGGCAAATCCGCGAACAAGTTTTGTCTCACAGGAGGACGAGTTGATGTTGCGCTTAAGCGCGCACCGACGACGACAGCTACTACTTGGATGCTGCCCCCAGTCATGAACAGTGAGGAATATTTAGAATGTAACCACATAAAGCCCTTGGAAAATGGCCCCTATAATACACTGTTAATGGGTGCGTTTCCAGGACCCAAAATACTACTACTAGGTAACGGTCGCGTTTATGACGGTGTCATTTTCTCCACAAACTGAGGTTTCGAGAGAGTTTTGACTAAAGTCCGCTTGCGCCTCAACGTGCGGATCCACATCATTATGATTGTCGGTCTGAGTTGTTCGTGCGTTTTAAAGTGCGTTTGGGCCTATTTTGGGCCCTCTTGCAGAAAAAACGCATTTTTTCGCGTAGGCTTCCCGGGAGCTTTTTTCTCATTGTTCATCGCCCAATTTGTTCAGGGTACGCCCCATTAGCCCAAGGGGTGTGAGGAGTTCTGAATTAAGTTTATCATCGCCCCATTAGTCCAGGGTACACCCCATTAGTGCAAGGGTGTGAGGAGTTCTGATTTAATTTTATCATCGCCCCATTAGTCCAGGGTACGCCCCATTAGTCCAAGGGTGTGAGGAGTTCTGATTTAAACTGATCATCGCCCGATTAGTCCAGGGTAC